AATAATGGCAACTGATTAGACAAAGGGGATATATTTTTAAATATTTCAAAATACATAGCTAAATTTACAAAGGTGATGTTTGCTTCTTTATTTTTGAGAAATCTTGAAGTAATTCCTTAAAAACTTACAAAGGCACTACTTAAAGGAAAAAAATAATTTTTCTGGGTATGTACTTTATTGATATTAAGTTCACTACATTAGAATGGAAAATAAAATGTATATACTTCTCTTTCTCTCTCTCACATACACACATATATTTTAGATCCACGCAACTAAAAAGCTGACAAAACAAAGTTATTAAATTACAACTTCAGTAATTTTATAAAATATTTCAAGAAAAATACTAAATTTTAACATGGTCTTAGTAACACCTACTTATTGATACTTACTGTGTGAAAATTTATCATTTCTTGAAGACTGTCAGAAAACTTGGTCAAACTTGTCTATGAGAAAGAAACCAAAGAAAACCAAGTCATTTACAAGCCACAGAAATAGGCCACAAATATGCTACCTCAGAATTTTTGACAGAAAGATAAAGTTACATTATAAACAATAACATTTACTTTCAATGACAATTTCATGGCATTTCCTCATAGGCATGCTCTATAGAGAGGTCAAGTCTGCATATATTAACAGTAACACCCTAGGACAGTCAAAGAGAAGTACTACCCTATCAATAGTATGCTAACAGGGAGGAATGGCACATACAAACCTAAATCTAAAATTGTGTATCAAGACTGTGCTCCTTTAGCATCTATGAATCAAATAATCAAATAACCACATCCATTTCTTCACCAGTTAGCATTACTCATTAAAGAAATATGATACCACATAGTGTACCAAGGGCCTAAGCTAACCCAGCATAGCTAGCTGACCAGAAATTTTTCCTATGCAGTGCCCCATACACAGCTGGATACTATTCCCATGTTAATGCTCTCTGCTTGCCCTCATAAGGACTGCTAGTAAGCATGATCCTACTCTCCCTGCTCTTACTAATATCTAGATGGTATCACCTTAACTTTATTCCTCCAACCCTTTTAATACTTTGTAACCAATTTACTATGTTAAAACCTTCCTATCAGAAATACCTGAAGTGTTTCTATTTTCTGGAGTTTATGCCAACAGATACAGTAAATGAAGAGATTTTACTCTCCAGAGACTACTTGCACAAATTTTGCTCCTCACAATGACCTTACATATAGGAATGGCAAATTTTATTAGTCCCTTCTTACAGAACAGTAAACTGAAAAATGAAAGTAAGTAAACTGACCAAAATTATACAGCTAATAACAGTGGAGCCTAAACTCTAAGTTGTCTCTGTCATATCATAATTATTAAATATTAATTTTTTTACACTATTAAAGTCATTAACACTGATTGCTTTCAATCTTAGAAAAAAAAGAATACATTATTGGGATCAGTTCAAGAAGCAAGCTGCACACTAGCACTAAAAAAAGTAGTACAGTCTCTATCTTCTTGAAGCAAATTATAATAATATACCTTGCTTAAAACAAACTTAATTTTTAGAGATTTAATTAACTCTGAAAGAGTGATTTATAAAATACTTCAAAGATTTCTTGACAAGAAAGCTTCCGATATACATTTAAACAATTTATTTACCAAAAGACTGTCTTAACCATAACTTTTATAAACTATAACAAAGAGCAAGATATTCTTAAAGTGTTAAAAAGAAAGACACAGGCCCAACATGGTGTCACTTCTGTTAAGCAAGTCACCAAACCAGGCCCCAATACTTAAAAACAGTTACAGTATCAACATCCCCAGAATGCAGTCACTCAAGAATTTTCTGGTCAGCATCACCAATTAGATAATCTACCACATGAGCCTTTGCCATCTTCCCCAAAAGAAGAGGGAATTTGAATTATAAGACCTCCTGCTCTGCCCCGCAGAGAAAATGACCTTGCCTGAAACAATTTACTTTCTTTTGCTAATGATTTCCCTCCACCCTCATTTCTATAAAAACTTTCCATTTTGTACAATTTCTAGGCGCATCTCTCTACTTGCTAGAGGGGATGCTGCCTGGTTCATGAATCACTCAATAAAGTCAATTAGATCTTCAAATTTACTTGAGTAAATTTTGTTTTTTAATAAAGCAGTAATGTAAGACTTATTGATTTAAAGAAAATAGACAAACAGGACTATTACAAATGATAACATGAGAAAACATTTGACCTATTACTGTTAATTTAAAATCAACATCTTTTATCAAAAATAGTCCTCACTGTATTAGACTTTAAAATGTAAAGCTTACAAATCTAAAAGATCACTTAATTTAAAAAGAAATCAATATACTATACATCGACATCTAAATTCACTAGAAGGCAAAAAGCAAAGTAATTAGAGGTCATTAAAAACAAATTGATGAAAAATATTAGAGCTAATACCATAAAACTCTCAGAAGAAAATGAAGGGATAAATTTTCATGATTTGGAATTTGTCAATGATTTTTACTACGACCCCAATAGCAGGAGCAACAGAAGAGAAAATAGATCAATCAGACTTCATGAAAATTAAAACTTTTGTGCATTAAGAGACATTACCAGTAAAATGAAGAATACCTACAGAATCAGAGAAAATATTAACACATCATAGAGTTGATAAGGGTTTTATATACAGAATATAAAAAGAATTCAGCTAAAAAAAAAAAAAACAATTTAAAAATGGGCAAAGGATTTGAACAGAGAACAATCGTAACCATGGCAGGAGAACAATAAATACATGAAAAGATCTGAACTACAATTAAAATAAGTAGTATCCTTAATGTGTTGACCCCCAAAAAAAAGAAAGAAAATCAAATCAACCTAGAACCAAGAAACAGCAAATTTGATAAAGAACGTAAGTACTGATACTCTTCTCAGTGACAGCCACTAATAATTTTGAAGCACTGAATAGTTATGACAGTCATATATGACATATGACAGCATTTAAACATTTATAAGATGCATATAAAACAAAAATTAACTCAAAATGTATTAAAGACTTGAATGTGAGACCTGAAACTACATAACTCCTAGAAGAAATACATTGGCAGTAAGTTCCTGGACATCAATCAGTCTTGGTGATGATTTTTTGGATTCCACAGTAAAAGCAAAGGCAACAAAAACAAAAATAAAAAGTGGGATCACATCAAAATAAAAAGTTTCTGCCCAGCAATGGAAACCACCAACAAAATAAAAAGGCAACCTACCAAAGGACAGAAATATATCCAAATCACATATCTGATAAGAAGTTAATATTCAACAACTCATACAACTCAGTAGCAGAAAAGTCAAACAGTCCAATTAAAAAATGGTAAGAGGATCTGAAGAGATACACATATCTGATAAGAGGTTAATATTCAACAACTCATACAACTCAGTAGCAGAAAAGTCAAACAGTTCAATTAAAAAATGGTAAGAGGATCTGAAGAGATAAGTTTCCAAAGAAGACATACAGATGGCTAATAGGTACATGAGAAGATGCTCTCTATCACTAATCATCAGGAAAAAGTAAACCAGAACTACAATAAAATATCACCTCACACCCGTTAAAATGGCTATTATAAAACAAACAAAAATTAACAAGTCTTGGTAACAATGGAGAGAAAAGGGAGCACTCGTACACTTTCATAGGATTGTAAATTGGTGCAACCACTATGGAAAACAGTATAGAGGTTCCTCAAAAAATAACAGAACTACTATATGACCCAGAAATTCCACTTCCGGGTATTTACCAAAAGAAAATAAAAACACCGATATTGAGAGATATATGCAGCCCCATGTTCCTTGCAGCATTATTTACAATAACTAAGAGATGGAAATAACCTAAATGTCCATTGATGATGAATGGATAAAAAAGTGTAGTAGAGATATACACACATACATACATACACACACACACACACACACAGTGGAATATTACTCAGCCATAAAAAAGAATGAAATCTTGCCATTTGTGACAACATGGATGGATTTTGAGGACATTATTCTAAATGAAATAAGTCAAAGAGGAAAAGATAAATACCATATGATCTCACTCAGATATGGAATCTAAAAGATAACCAAAAAACAACTACAACAACAAAAAGAAATCTGCGATGGATATAGAAAACAAGATTTGTGGTTGCCTGAGGCAGTGGGTGGATGGCAGACATAATGGGCTAAAGACATAATGGGCAAATTTCCAGTTATAAAATGAGTAAGTCACAAGGATATAACCTACAGCATGGTGACTATAGCTAATGTATTACACATCTCAAAGTAGCTAAGAGAGTGGGTGTTGAACGTTCTCATCATAAGAAAAAAAATTTTTGACTATGTATGGTGATGGATGTTAACTGGACTTACTGTGGTGACCGTTTTGCAATATACACAAATATGGACATTATATTGTACTCTTGAAACTAGTATAACATTATGTCAAGTATACCTCAATAAAAAAAATTTTAAGAAGTATATATACCTTATAAGCTACCATATTTTCAAGTAAACTTTTACAAAATTTATAAAGGAATTTCTTGATACTCCAGAAGTAATACATTTAGCCCCTCACTCTTGAAGGATAATGGCCTTAAACACACATATCAGTGGCTCAAAGAATACAGAAGTCTTTAATAATGGCAACTGATTAGACAAAGGGGATATATTTTTAAATATTTCAAAATACATAGCTAAATTTACAAAGGTGATGTTTGCTTCTTTATTTTTGAGAAATCTTGAAGTAATTCCTTAAAAACTTACAAAGGCACTACTTAAAGGAAAAAAATAATTTTTCTGGGTATGTACTTTATTGATATTAAGTTCACTACATTAGAATGGAAAATAAAATGTATATACTTCTCTTTCTCTCTCTCACATACACACATATATTTTAGATCCACGCAACTAAAAAGCTGACAAAACAAAGTTATTAAATTACAACTTCAGTAATTTTATAAAATATTTCAAGAAAAATACTAAATTTTAACATGGTCTTAGTAACACCTACTTATTGATACTTACTGTGTGAAAATTTATCATTTCTTGAAGACTGTCAGAAAACTTGGTCAAACTTGTCTATGAGAAAGAAACCAAAGAAAACCAAGTCATTTACAAGCCACAGAAATAGGCCACAAATATGCTACCTCAGAATTTTTGACAGAAAGATAAAGTTACATTATAAACAATAACATTTACTTTCAATGACAATTTCATGGCATTTCCTCATAGGCATGCTCTATAGAGAGGTCAAGTCTGCATATATTAACAGTAACACCCTAGGACAGTCAAAGAGAAGTACTACCCTATCAATAGTATGCTAACAGGGAGGAATGGCACATACAAACCTAAATCTAAAATTGTGTATCAAGACTGTGCTCCTTTAGCATCTATGAATCAAATAATCAAATAACCACATCCATTTCTTCACCAGTTAGCATTACTCATTAAAGAAATATGATACCACATAGTGTACCAAGGGCCTAAGCTAACCCAGCATAGCTAGCTGACCAGAAATTTTTCCTATGCAGTGCCCCATACACAGCTGGATACTATTCCCATGTTAATGCTCTCTGCTTGCCCTCATAAGGACTGCTAGTAAGCATGATCCTACTCTCCCTGCTCAGGTCCTCTTGTAGATGGTTCAGCTCGTCTAGCAGCAAGTAAACTTATATTCACAATGCAAATCAACCATCAACTTCTAAATATCCTAGAAAACAGGATTATACAAGATAGCACTAGGTGACAGCTTTTCTACTTCTAATTTTAAGGACCAGTGTAACTATTAGGAAAGTTTAAAAGTGCATAATTCCTTAATGTCTTGTTGCATTTACCATTTTATATAATTTTAACAATACTAACCTCAACTACAGCATCATTACTAGAATACTGTGCCAGGTCGCGAATTCCATTCATGAATTGTTTATTTGCAACACAAAAGGCCTTTCCAGTATCAATCATTGCAATACAAAGCTTCACAAGCTGAAAAAGAAAACAATACATCAGGCTGAAAATAATTTTACAAATTACCTAGTTGAACAAGTGTTAGCAGTAAATATATGAGTTAGCTTAGTTAAGATAAATTATGGCTCATTAATATATCCAAACAGATTAACTGAACATTGTTCTTTTTTTCCTCTGGCTTATAAAGCAAATTCATAGTAAAGCTGTACCAAAAAAGTTTATCTTTCAGGGGAGAGACTTTCTGATTTAAAAAAACATACATATATTTCATTTTATCAAGTCACATTCAATCTCATAAATTAACTCTAAAACTTTAGTGAGCCTTTCTTAGAAGGAAGAAAGAGAAATTCAGGCAATAATACAAGTCATATGATAAAAGATATTTAATTTTCTTTTTTAACTGGTATGTTGGAGGAAAAGGGATATGTTGGGTTAGTCATGCTGACCATTCCAATATCAGTCGATCAAAGCAGATGTCTGAATTGATTAATCAACCATTTTTCTCCAGTGCCTACTTTTCTAAGAACTGTGCTAGGTGTTAGGATTGAGCTTTTCCCCCTTTCCTCCTTTTCCTTTTTCACCTTTCTCTTTCTAACACTCCCTTTCTCCCTCCCTCCCTTTCTTTTTTCTGTTCCTTCCTTCTTTCTCTTTCTTTTCTCTCTTTCATTCAGACACAGAACATTTCTTTAAACAAATAAAATCTTGGGTGGATGTCAAATGTAAAAAAAAGATAAAAGTAGAGCTGCTCCAGTGGAAGAAGGGAAGGATACTCAAGAAGTGGGAAGGGGGAAACACCAAGAGGAGAAAGAGCCCAGAAAAACACTTTAGAAACACCTAAAGGACCTCAGAAGTGTAATTTAAAACTGCTGCCCTAGGGCCTAGAGGAACAGAAATTAAAAACACACTTTATGTTCCCAGGCACTTTAATTCTAACTGGTAGAAAGCAGACAAATTCTATATAGCACAAACACAACCACCAGGCATGACAAAACCATGCATGGGCAAACAAAGGAACAATATCTAACCAGGACTATGGGAATTAGGGAAGGATTCCTCAAATAGGTTAACACATGAGAAAAACCCTGCCGACAAACAGGAATTGGCCAATCGGATGAGTGTAATGGGGAGTTACTACTCCACGAAGAGCATGTGCTAAAGTCCAGAAGCTTAAACGAGCAGGGCAAACCAGAGGCACCAAGTAGCTTAGTACAGTATAAAAATGTGGGTCAAAAAAGTGTGACACTGAAAAATGTATACAAGGGCCAGATCAGGAAAAGCCTGTGTGCAATGCTAAAATGTTCATATTTTATGGGAAACAATTAAGACATTAACTGGGTGAATTAACCAGCATTCCATTTTACAATAAAGACCTAAAAGGAGAAAAAATAAAGACAAAGAAATAGAAAGAATAAAAATAAGGAGAGTAGACCAAAAACCATGAGAGGATGAATTAAGTCAGTAAGAAAGGAGAAAAGAGAAGACAAATTCACAAATTACAGTCAAGTATTCATGTACAGTTACATAGACTGTGTCTTACCATGCAGGAAAATAGGGGCTGAAATCCAGCCTGAGCTCTGCTTGCCAAGGGCTACATCTGCTACAAGACAGTAATTCACACAAACACACTAAACTGGCCAGCAAAAGACTCGTTTTCACATGTTGGGCCTGAACTAGATGAACCCTTGAGATAAGCCATGCGGAAAAACTGATCAAACTCCAGTAAAAACAGATGTTTGAAGCTCAAAAGGATACAGATACAGGAGTCATCAGCAAATACATGTATCAGTACTGCAGTGCTGTATCCTACATAAAAAGCAGATGGCAGAGCATGTAGAGTGAGAACACCATAAAGGAGACAGAAAAGAAAGACAGGAAAAGCAAAAAAACTGTTTCACCAAAGTCAAGAGAAAGAACAAAGTATTAAAAGATGGATGATGAATAACAGGTTTTGAATCCATAAAAATCAAGTTTTAAAAGACTTTAAAAATGACTTTTGACGGATAAGATTCCTCAAGGGAGGAACAACCTAAGACAGGCACAGTCGCAGGGGGGCCATCAGGTGAGAAATTGGGGATCAACAGAGGTGAGGCTTAGAACCTCTCCCCCCCCCGCGTTCTGAGAGAAATCCGCTGCATCCGTGGATGTTTTATTGCCCTTGTCTAGCTTGGATTAACACATAGTCTACAGGCACACACCTGATCATCTACATTTGCTCTCTTACAACACTAAACTATGTTTTCTACCTTTATCTTGCATCTACCTACCACTTCAGCATTTTATTAAAAATAATAATAATAA